GGTTGGTTGTGTGTGTGTGTGTGTGTGTGTGTGTGTGTGTGTGTGTGTGTCTGCGGAGCTGCCACTGGTGCACGTTTTGTTTCGATGTTGGTCCGATCAGCGGCTGTGCAGAAGAAGACGATGCACTTTATCCTGAATGAATTACGACGGCCGACACTGTGGACTGACCCACATCACAGATAATTCCATTGCACCTTGTAACGTCCTTAAATCAACACTGTGAAACTTTTTCACCTTAAACCAGTAACTTGATTAAACTCTGATGTTTGAGTGTGAACAAGGAGAAACTTCCCTCTACATAAATATAGTGACAACCCTGGAGTGTATGGATATAATGTCTGTGTTTGGAGTCACGATTCGGTGGTTTTGCGTCTTCCAGCCTTGATTCGTGGTCATTACTCTGAAATGACTCCGTGTGTTTGCAGCTAATGACGCCTGCCCTCAGTGTTTGGTTTGAATTAAGCTGTAAATGAAGCAGGAGCAGGAGGTTGTTCAGCTGTGACCGATGGTTTCTACCATTTTAAAATATCTTCTTTGTTTCTGGACGGGACATTAGAGCAGATTCTTTAATAATGTGACGTTAAAGTTTGATTTACTGGGAATTTTTCAGCTTCAGTTTCTCGCAGTGAAGGTTTTTACATTAATATCTTCTCATGTGTATTTTGTGCATGTATGACCTCATTACCAGCACCAGCACCTCCTCGGGCTATGACACTTACTCCTTTTGCTTTATTCAACCACATCATTCATTTAATATAATTTTAATAACTTCCCCAATTTTTATCCTCAAGCTTCAGCCTCATTATTTTCCTGAAGGAACTTTGCTTTGTGAACGTGATTCTAGTTTTATGACAGCGTCTGGTGTTCGTGTTGTTTGTACCGACCTGCTGTGTTGCAAATAAAAACCTGTCAACGTGAGTCGCTCTGGAACAAACAGAGAAAGCGACGGAACCATCGACAGCAGCAGAAAACTGATCAGAGGCAGAAAAAGAAAACCTCCGGACAAAAGAATAAACCTGAACCTCTTCTGTCTCCTTCTGTTTCCAGGTGTGTCCATGCCAATCCCCGTCATCGGCCTCCACAACGAGGACAAGGTCTTCGTCAACGGCAGCTGCGTCCTCAACGAGGAGCGCTTCATGCTGATTGGCTCCTTCGTGGCCTTCTTCATCCCCCTGGTCATAATGGTGGTGACGTACTGCCTCACCATACAGGTACACGCAAATACTCTTAATACTCCTTCGAGGCGACGCAATACAACTTGTACTGAGCAACAGCGCCCTCTGCAGCCAAGGTTGAACGCTCACCTCCCCGTCCTGTGCAGGTGCTCCAGAGGCAGGCCACTGTCTTCCTATACGAGGCGAAGGCTTCCTCCCAGCAGCCTTTGCACACACCAGCGATGACGAACACATTGCAGCCCCCGTCCAGCACCTTCCACCTCCCTCAGATCAACACACTCGCACCGCCGGACTCACAAGGTAAAAAAAACTCCGACCAGGCTTCAGCAGCTCAACTCGTCCGTTCAGTGTTTGAAATGATTCCGTCCTAATTATTCCGTTGTTAGTGTAAAATGTTGAATTCCTCTAACGATCAGAAAACTCATCACTTTCCTCGTCTGACTCACGGAGGAACTGATTCGATGTCAGAGGTCAAAGGTGAAGGTGACCATCTTAACGAGTCGGCTGAAAGAATGAACGTAGACAGGAACTACACTGGTTGGCGGAGGGATACGACGGCAGGGCAGTAGTTCAGTGTGACACGTTGTGTTTAACGCAGTGGAGGAAAGAAACACAAGAAAAGTCTCACGTGTTTCCTTTAATTTGCTCAAACACGAAAAGGTGAGACTGGTCCTTGACGCCTCTTTTGTCCCCCCCCGCCCACAGAGAGGAAGCCCCCGCCCCCGCCGAGCAGACGAAACACCCTGAGCTGCCTGAAAGGAGCCGAGCCCAGCATCCTCCTCAGCGCCTCCAAGTCAGACAGCATAAGCATCATCCCCAGCTCCGAGGCGGCGTCCCAGCTCAGCTCGCCAGCCGCGGGGCCGGGGCGGAGCGACACGTCGGGTTGCCACGGGCGACGGGGGATGATGCAGGCCATAAAGAACGAGAGAAGAGCCTCCAAGGTGAGAATGGGAGAGCGGCGGCAGGCGGCGGCGAGCCGGGGCGCTCGTCTCAGGTCTGCAGGTGATGTAGCAGCTGGGAGATGAACACAGGTTGAATCCCAGCAAGTGTTAAAGGTGGAAACTATTTCACTCTCAGAGAGTTCGATAACGTTTGTAGATTGACGCTCAAAATAAAGTACGATAACAAGCTTCCATATAGATACAAATACTCAGGTATCGTATTTGTATGACGACAAGGACGAGTGCTGAGTGCGCTCCTCCGCCAAGGACCTGAAAATGCATAAAAAGAAAATGAATAAATTGCTTCCATCTGCTTTTCTCTCAGTTAAATAAATGTGCAGCAACAAATCCTCCGCAGGATTCTGGTGGAGCAGCAGACGTCTCCTCTAAGTAACGTTTAATGGTCTGTGGGAATCTGAAGACGTTTCCTCAGAATGTTTCAGCAGCGAACAACAAATCTACTCATGTTGCGTTCAAGAAGTTTAAACACATCATCGATCATTAATCTGTTTCTGTTTCTCTCTGCTCTTCCTCCTCCCCCCTCAGGTCCTGGGAATCGTCTTCTTCCTCTTCCTCATCATGTGGTGCCCCTTCTTCATCACCAACGTCACCTTCGTCCTGTGCCGCGGCTCCTGCAACGAGTCGCTGCTTCACGACCTCCTCAACGTCTTCGTGTGGGTGGGGTACATCTCCTCCGGGGTCAACCCCCTGGTCTACACCCTCTTCAATAAGACCTACAGGAGAGCGTTCTCCAGCTACATCAGGTGTCAGTACAAAATGGGGGCCGCTGCCGGACAGAGTTGCAAAACCCTCCTGGTCCCGCCGCCGTGTCCGTCGCACGCCGTGACCCCGCTGCTCATGGGCAGTCACGGGAAAGCAGGCGTGGACCGCAACAGTAACTGTCGCAACGGCAGCAGGGGGGACAACGGGAGGCTGGCGGTGGATCCGGAGGACACGACGGACGACGAGACGCAAATTGGAATTGTGTCGCAAAGCCTCTCGGAATGCTTCAACGTGGGGATGCTCTCGGAGGCGGAGCCGGAGACGGAGCTGGAACAGGAGCTGTCGCTGATCAGCTACAATCCTGCGTCCAGTGACCACACAAGCAGCGTGTGACTGTGCACGTCGTTTCATTTCATGTCTTCTTTTTGAACCGGCAGACGCTGGAGCGAGCAGCGTGTCGTCCGTGGCCCCGCAGCCTTCTCGAGGGCCTCCGTCCTGCAGGAGGGACTCTTATTGTGAAAGTCTGCAACGAGGAGCCTTACCCCCACACAGACGTGCAGCGCTCACATCAGTGTGAGGAGAACCAATAGAACCAAACCTGGAACAGTGGGATTCACACCGCTGTGTCGGAACCAACATTTCAGACGTGTCGTTTTTTTATTTGTTGCCAAAATGTCGGTTCGTACCACAAACAGACGATTGAGTCACTTCCTGGGGACGAAGGCTGAGATCCAGAGCGAAGAGACGACTCCCGCTCGAGTCCGGCTGACGCAGGTCACAGAATCAAGCACCAACCGCTGAGGTCACCGGGGTCAAACTGCGACTTCACGCCTTCACACAGTCTAAATGCAGTCTGAGCTCCGCGCAGAGCGAACGTAACCAAATCTATTTTTGTGCCGGTCGGGCTCGACGCCAGCGGTCGTAACAAATGTGTCTGAATGAAAACCTCTCCAGCATGAATAATCTACCCACAGACACAGGAGCTCTTTACTCTGAAGGAGCAAACTTTCTCGAAGCTGCCGCAGAAGAAGCGAGATGGACGAATGTATACAAGGTGGACCCACAGTGCCATCTGGTGGCGGTGCAGTGACACTGCAGAACAAGGGGCTGAAAGAGCTACGGACGCGGCGCAGACGCTCAGACTCCTGCTTCTCGTTTCAAACCAGGATCCACAATTTGTTAATGTTTTGTTATTTCAACTAAAGTTTGAAATCAAGAGATAAAAATATTTTTTGATCGTAGGGCACAAACGCTCCTTTCATCCTTTGAAGGAACTAAATATAACGATTGTTTGATTATTTTAATAATATCTTGATTTTGCCAACGTTGGCAAACTTAAATTATAAAATGAGCAAATAAAGCCAAAGACAAAGATTCTGCAAAAACCGGGGGATGCAATAATATCACAACTATCTTCAACACAGATCTTTATTTACACGCACATTAACAAAGATATGGTGGAAAAGTTCAGAGACAGAAAAACAACAACAATAAAATATAAATCGACGATTAAACGAGATGTCAATAAATGTGATGCAGTGATGTCACATGTTAAAATAGAACAGATCACATGTTCAAATCTCGGCTGTTTGGGATTCAAGGCATCTGTGAAGGAAACAAACGTCCCTCTCCTTTAATTTACTGTTAAAAATCAAGGTCAGACTTTAGATAAATCTTTTTCCTCAGCTGCAGGATTTTCTCTCACCAGAGGTGTTTGTGTATATTCATCGATGAGCTTTGCTCCTGGAGAATCTCAGAGACCCTGAGCCCGGTGGTCAGAACGTCCCCAGAGACGACCACTCACCTTTAGATCTCATCTGTCCCCTCAGACCGACAGGAAGTCGATACGCTAAGAGACGTCTGACTCCATCAAGGACGTTTTATCTACACGTCTCCGTCAGCTGAACACCCCCCCCCCCCCCCC